CTGATAAATATATTTTGCAGCAGTATGCCTTCTACATCAAAATCAAGCACTGTTATAAAAATGTATGTCCTGTGCAAATTCTTTTTTTTAACATTTCCACTGACTAAAAAGTGGTTCTGCAGTAGCACAGATATTTGTGTGGGTTTATACTGAACCAGAATCAAATTTATTGCATAAGTACACTCTAGTTCAACTTACTTAAGTAAAAAACATTTCTCAGGACTGTACCTTGTAATCATAACAGATACAGAATACGGAAATAAAGTGAATTCCAATCGTAATAGCCTGAGTGAACGAATGAAATAAATAAATAAACAAATAATTCAAAGACATGTTTGGTTAACGGTGCAGGGGACAAACAAACAAAAAAGATCCCATAGTAGTACAAAAATTACCTTACCAAATTGACACTTACGTTCAAGTGGTCCTGCCTCTGGTTCTTGCGAATTTTCTCCAAGATGGCAAGGTTTTCCTTCTCTATCCCATCATCCTCTGATTTCTTGCCATCTACAGGTTCCTCCTCTTTCATCTCATAGTGGTCTAGATCTTCAATGTCCTGCTAACACAGAGAGACCAAGAAATGTGTTAAAAAAAACAGTCATATAGAGCATTCACAGGACCAAATACAAAGGACAAGTGGTCAAAAATGTAAAATACTTGAAAAACAATAAAAACCTCTGCCATTTCTTCCTCCTCCTCTTCTTCAGATGTTACTTCATCTGTTGTTACATGCTAGGAGCAACAGCAAAAAAAGAAAGAATGAAAATGCAATAAAAATGTGGCTTTCCAGAACCTAACACACAGACAAAAAACAAAAAAAGAAGAGTAAATTAGTGCCTAGGTTTATCTGGCCAACCTTTCTGTCATGAGTGATGGGTCCAGCAGGAAGAGGCTGGTCCAGCATCTCCACATCAGGGTGCTGGGGCAGGTTATAGAGTCGACACAGATCGCAGATTAACCTTTTCAGCTGCTGGAGGAGCTGAGGGAGAAAAACGAATACACCATTTCTACTACTAATCCTCCAAATACTAAATGTTTCTACTGTCAGCTGGCAACTATCACAGACAGAATCAAGAGCAGATCAAGAGGGACGAACCCATGAGGTCACAGTGTGGGTAGTGACACCCAAAGGACACACAACAACCCTACAATGAGAAGGAAACCTGTCTCAAATGCTTACTTACCAATGTACTGCCTTTGCGGACATCCTCCAGCCGCTCTAAAACTTCAGTCAGACTTGGATCATCTGATTCCACAAACCATATAGGTGGAGTTGAAGGATAAGACTCCTATAAGCAAGACGAGTTGTGGAAAATTAGAACAAAAAGGGGCTGAAGTAGAACAGTCTGTGCCCTCCGCAGTGGTTAAAATGAAAGAAGTAGAGCTTGAAGCCAGGTAAGCTGCATTTCAGAACAGGCTGTTTAGTACAGACTAGAGAGGTAATGACGTGTTTGCTCTTCCTGCTAAGTGAACACCCACCAAACCCCACTGCTCCCCTCCCTACATTGTTTTCCCACTTCACTGCGAACTGCAAACCATAAGTAGGACGATCATGTTTAGAAACATCCACAGTTAATAGTCAACACAGCAGTCCACAAATCAATAGTTATGGTATCCTTCTCAACAACCGGACTATTTTTAATAGATCCAAAACTGTCCATGTAAATTCTACCATCATTAGTTAATCACGAATCACTGATGTTATACACATTATGTGAAATATATTTTAAAATCTAGACACCTTACTTTAGTGTTTCTTTAGGGTGCAAGTTAATTAGCAAGTGTAACTTTCTACAAACTGTAGCTACGTTACGCTCACCAACAGTACACCGATGCGCAAACCTGGCTAGCTAGCTAGCTAACAGTGTAACAACTCCGCGACTGAGCAGTTCATGTGTTTTGCACTACTAACAACCAGCCCAAGAACACTGTTAGCCGCCTGTGAGCAAGAAATTGTCTTAGTCACTAGATCACGCACCAAATGTAACAACTTCACGTCACTGGTGTTAACTAACATTAAGCTACCTAATTAACGTTAGCTTAGCTAGCTAGCAGGCAGAACTTAGCTAGCACTGTTAAACAGGCTGACAGGCCACAGTGAAACCGATCTCTCCTTTTTTATCTGCGATTTTGGTTTTATGTTACTTGTTGTACATTTTAAATGGGGAATTCAGAAGTCAGAACATTCTAGCTCAAATATGAAATCACAGTTGTCCTATATGAGTGTGTAGCTAGGTTAGACAGTTTGCTTACTGCTTTATTAACGTTAATTCTTCGTAAAAAACCAAAACGTAGACTGGAAAACAGACGTCAGTCATCTAGTTAACTAGCTCGCTGAGCGCGGTTAGCTGGCTCGCTAACGTGTCACATTCCAGCACAGATTAACCACAACATTACCAAAGACTACCAAACGCCGGTCAGCCTGCTACACGTCCACCATTAGCCTTAGCTAGCTGACCACCAGCTGGCCAGGTACAGCACTCACTCACACTGTTTGGCTGCGACAACTTATTGTGTTGTTTGCTACAGCCAAAACCTACGTTAAGGCTATGATGTTATGTTACTGCTGCGTTAATAATCATAACAAAGGAAGCGATACCGCGCATTCGGAAACAAGCCTGTGGCTTTGCACACTTTATGGGTGAAGGTATGAAAGTTAGCCAACAAACTAAGCTAGCTAACCAGTGGCGATCAACTAAGCTTCGTGGTAACTCAGCTAGCGTTAGCTAACTACTTGTGAGAACTTGTTTAACTTAGCTAAATTAGCGCAATGGCTGTGATTAGTATGCCAATTTTGAGGATAACATGAATGTATACGTCAAGCTAGTGATCTCTTTTTCATCTGGACTGGCCTACAGACTTCTTATCAACACGACAACAAACAGTGTACGTGACATTATTATTTCGACGCTTGTTTTAGCATGCCAGCTAGCTAACTGCTGCTCGATTGCTGAGCAGCTAGCTTAGCTAAGCTAACGTTACGTCTTCCTACGTCTCCCCTTACCGTAATGTTGCAGTGAATGATCAGTAGCTTTTCCCCAGTCACATTGAATTGGCAGCTAAGTTCATCAGGTTTCCAGTCGATAATTCTGAAACGTTCGTGGTTTGGGTCAAAAATTGACTCCAAGAACTTTAATTCGGCCTTCAGCCCCGAAACCGACATCTTCCACTCATCTCCAGCCAGGCCGCGGGGGGAGGGGGCAGCTGCTAACCTAGCTGGCTGGCTAACGACTGCGACCGCGCAGTTCAGTGCCTGTATGTTTTTACAGCGCCGGCCGGGACTGGGTAACAAAAGATGGGGTGGAGAGAGAGCGAGAGAGGAGCGAGGAGGAGAGCGAGCGAGCGAGGGAGGGAGGGAGGGAGGGAGGGAGGGGGGGGCAGGAATAAGCGCAGACTTCTTCTTCTGTTGGGTGGTCGGATGGTACTGAGTACAGTCGAGCTCTGTAAACTGTGAGGGAGACCACTGAGAGTCTGACTGCCCCTCTCCCTTTGTGGAGGTTTACTGAAATGACGTACTGTAACTGCACTAGAGATGACACGGATCCCATACCGGGTATCAGCAAACCAGGCTGGATCTGATATCAAAGGAGAAAAAAAGAATGAATGTGATTCAATCCTGTAACAAATCTGTCCTGAAAGAGCACTCAGTCACACTGTGTGATGTTCTGGTGCGTATTTCCTCCTGTGGGGCAGTAGAGTGATTGAGAAGTTTCAGTATGATGGTCTACTTCTGAGTGATCATCTTAGGTGAAGTACTTTAGTTAAAAACAGGTCGTTAGTAGTTTAGTAGTTTTTAGAGAGAAAAAAAGAGATCACATCAGCTTATACTTAAAGCTTCTGTATCAGTTGGGAATGGAACGGTGGTGTCATGTCAACTCTAAACTGTTTAGTGTATGTTGCTCCAGCTTGCCAACTGATTCAAAGCAGGGGGACAACATGCAGGCCCGAATGCGTTCCCTCTTTTCCTTAGGTAAAGCTCACTGCCTGCCCAGTTTGCAAATCAGCAGTTGTCACCCACTGAATACATACAAGCTGCAATTTTGTGGTTGCAGGTCTGGATATGATTATCATTTGTATTAAGCAATTTATGAATGGAAACACAAATTATTAATTGTATGTGTGTGTTTTCTGTTATCACATTTTTTTGGAGGAGACTTTCTTTCCCTCATTATTTCCTGATTTGTGGTGTAGATATAGAGAACTGGATGGCTTTCACTTTTGGTCTTGCTATGAGTGAATATGTTAAAAATGGTCATAGATCTGTATATAAAGAGTTTCATTCCAAAATGCTGTATATCCATGTGAGAGGATATAACACATTTTTGAAAAGAATAACAGCTGGTTTAAAATGGAAAACACATTTTTATTTTTCTAATAAAGGTGGTATTAATCATAATATAGCACTGACATTTCTTGCATGTGTAAAGCTCACACTCCACAACTGTTATCATGAAATAAAATTCTTAAAAGAGGTCTATAATGCATTTTGGAACAACACCATTCATATGTAGTGTGTATAATTACTGGAAGTGTGTAGACTAGTCTGAACCCATACTCAAGTAAAAGTGTTTGACTTAACGTAAAAGTACCTTTCCTGAAGTAGCAGACCAAAAACTACTTAAGCACTGAGCCACAAGAAAAGAAATAAACATGCAAACAATGAATAAGTAACTAAATTTTAAAGACTAAAACTGGTACAGTTCTCAAAAATATACTCAAGTAAAAGTATTATGATTTGAAAAAGTTCAAATCCATCAAAAGCGTACTTGAGTACATGCAACTGAGTAAATGTAAGTAGTTACAGCCCATTTCTGATGTTTCCCACCACATTTGCAAATAAAACAATGCTGTTTTGGTATTCTGGGAAGTGCATAAGGAAGCACGCTAGAGGGCACTGCTATCTTGAGGCTGAGACAAGGAAGAATTGTCTAATTTGTGGTATAGACATGTCTTCAGGTTGCAAAAGGATTTAGTGTGACAGTGTCCCTGAGAGTGCTGTCTTCCTCATCAGAGGTCTCCTCAGCTGAGCAGCAGGCAGCAGTGCTCTGTACTAGGCTGCACATGGAGACTGGACTGAAGATGAAGTTAATTCTGTTCTTGCTTCTTATCATCCTCCAGGTTGAGCCCCTAAACAGCACAGTCAAGCAGATCCAGCAGTGTGGAGTTCACTGTTCTAAGGTATGTTTATACCACTGTGTGGGCAGTAAATTAGGCTGAACAAGTTTGTGGAGACCTCATAGTGTTGTGTAGGACATTAACCATTCACTAAACTATTCAGGTTTTTAATATTATTTTTTTAGATTATTAGATTTAGATTTTTAGATTATTTTTAAGATTATTTTATGATTGTAATAATTAGTCCATTAAAGATCAAATTAGCATTTCATACTTGATGCAATAGCCATTTCTTTATATTGAAAGAAAAAGTGTTTATTTTATTAATAATAATAACAAAACATGTAACCACCAAAATAGACTATATTTGTGTTTTTTATGCTCTCTGTTATTTATCATGGGTCAGTCTTGGTGGTATTGTGGTATTTCTTGAATGGGGCTTTAAGCTTCATTCACTTTTTTAAACTAGTGAGTACTGTCATTGGTATTTAGGGTCAGTGCCAGGTCTGTGCCTGTTTCATAGTGAAAAGTAAATTGAAAGACATATCTTGATCACATGACAGAATGTTGTGCAATGAATCTTGTTCAGCTTATTTAAGTTGAGGTCATTAGAAGTGCATGGTTGTATTTCAAACTGTAAACAGTTGAAGTGAAGACAGAGTTGACTTTGAAGTATCCAGACAGAAAGCATAACAGTAGTCATTTGACAGTAGTTTAGAGTTATTTTCCGTTTTGCACAACCAGGAACTACAGTCTCCACATAATCAAATGTGGGAAACCCCTGTCATTATCCTACCGTAGATTACATTTCCTTCTGACAAATTAATTATCAACACTCTGGGCTACGTGTTGATTCAGTGAAATGCTCTATGTGGCCGAATTCTGCTAGTATTTGTAGCTTTTAATGTTAAATCTCCTTTTCATTTTTTTCTAACAGGGGCTACACTGTAAATCCAGGCATCACTGTGAGTAGATGAGTCTTACGCTATCAATTGTCTTTATTTTTTTTTTTTGAAGATATACATATCCCACTCAGACATCCCCTTTCCCCACACCACATACTACACACATAGTAAACAATATATTAATAGAATTCTCTTTCATTTAATTACATTTATGTATCAAAATTTATGTTAATTGAATTTTACCTGAGCATTGTCTAATGTCTCTTTATCCCTCAGAATGAAACAGACTGTTTTTATTACTGTGCTTTATATGTTAAAACTTATATTCAATTTTAGTGGCTTGAAACCTACAAGAAACTAAATTGCAACTCATTTAAAACGCAGAGTTGCAACCATCTCAACTTTGTGAAACAACTTCAATGAAACAGCCAATGAAAATTCATATAACACATCACGTGATCACGTTAAACAACATACTTTCAAGCCATTCATTTCACCGGATCAATGATAAAAAATAATAATACAGAAACAGGTTTATTGGGCAGTTGGAGAGGAGAATCCCCCTCCTGACTGACTCAAGGGTGGTAGTTTTCAATTTTGTCCATTTCCAGAGCCGTGACAACAAACAGGAGCTTCTCAAAGCTAACGTTTCTGTAACTAGCTGCGTTAACTAGCTAGCTAACGCTAACAGCTGTTTAAATGGCTGCTTGTGCCACCAATTACTTTTTTAGCCTGCTTTTATCTTCATTAATGTAGCTATTTACTTTCTTGTCTTTTGATGGCCCCTAATTTTATACAGAGCACATTTTTTTTTAGATCCAAAGGATGAAAATGATAACAGAAGGGAGACTGAGACCCACTCTGAGATGAACTGTTTGTGCTTTTGGAACAGGATGAGCTAGTCATCAAGTCTGTAACCTCAATGGCTCATTTTTAAAGACGTAACACGCGCACAACAGATACAAAAACGCAAATATATTGTGAAGTAGATAGATAAAAAATGACAGATATATTTAGAAAAAATGTCAGTGAAAGCTGGAAAAATATGAAGATGATAAAAATGCCAGAAAATGCTAAAAGATGATAAAACTTATATTAACGTAAATTATATCTTGTAGATGACTTTAGTGAGAACTATGGTGAATCACAAATATGAGCTGCTAATTTGGCTATCTAGTGGAATATTGGCATGTGAAGCATGTAACCTTGTTATTGAATTGCATTATCTAACTGTCTGGTTGTATGGTAATTATGTTGGAGGCAACTTTAGAGAGGAGAAATTGTGTAGCCAAATTCCCAATCTTCAAAATAAAAGGTTGCTTTTTTGTTGTGTGCCTGTTTGGCCATTAATACATCACTAAATATTGTGCCAAAAGTGAAAATACTCAGGGAACAGAAAGGTAAGTGAACAGAAAGGTAATTCACATTCAGTGTTGTCTGACATGCCAAACAAAACTATTCACAGGGTAAACAGAAAGTTTCATCACGTGAAGCCAGCCTAAGACTGATGCATGTAAATGAGCTCTGTTCCTGATATGCTGCCCTGTATTGTACCTCATTCAAAAAGCAGTCCAGGCTAAAACAGTCCCTAATACCTTCAGCATTAATGAGCAGAGCTAAATTTCTGTAGGAAATTCTGAATTGGTGTTTGACTGGTATGTGAATGCATTAATTTTGTGACAACACAAACACAATGAATTCAAAGTAGGTCATTTTTGCAGCATAGTTTCTATAAATGGAATGAGGAGTGAATGGTGTGTTTAGAAAGTTTACTAAGTTTTACCTGTTCAATGTCCATGATATAGGCCCTTTAATACAACTTGTACAATATTCTGTTTCTATCTCCAGTGTCACTGTCTCGCTGCAAAAATCAGCAAGACCTGAACAATGCCACTACCATTGATGATGTCAATCTGTCTGTTGTTATGAAATGTGAAGAAGAAAAATGTTCACTCAACCTCAACATTGTCATAATGATGACACTTTACGGTATGTTTGAAACAGTATTCGTAAGAGCTGCACTCATTTGTACACATTTAAGTATATAGTATCAAGTATATAGTGCTTTCTGTAGTTGAAAGGACATACAAGAATAAATGCTGATAAAAATAAATATAAATTCTAAAAGTAACTTACAGTGAATTAAAAAAGATGAAAGCACTTAAAAACATGAAAAATGAAGAAGTGAAAAAGAAAAAAGTGCTGCGTGGGGTCATGAAAAATATATTCCTTGGGCCTGGATGATGCAGATTCAAAGAACGAGTTTCACACCAGGGATTGCAAAAGTAAAATATCCGTGTTCATTTCCAAAATTATAAACAATAACTCCCAGAGCAAAAATAATCCCAGATGCTCCATCTTTTGAGGAGGTATAAATAGCCTTTATTAACACATAGCAAACTGAAAAGAAAGTTCCGGCACACTGTGGCCTGTGCAGGTCTTCATCTTGGTACACATTTTGTCACAGTGGCTTCTCATACTTCTTCAAAGATGGAGTGCCTGAGGGCTATTGTTAGTATTTTTTAGGATGCACATTGATAATTTTACATTTACACCTCTATGTACGAAACATTTGCTTTGCACTTAAAAACATTTTCTCAATACTGTGGAGAGGAAAATTTGTATAGCAAAATGGTCAATCTTAAAAATACAAGTTTTTTTGTGCGCGCTTGTGTGGCCAACTCTGAGAATATTAAGTGAGCCATCACTGGATAATCTGTAGCAAGTGATTGAATAGATTAAATAGTTTGAGCAACGTTGCAACTATGAGGATGTTTTTGAACAAGCACATGGCAAGAACTGTTGTAAAATATTTTTACAACAGCATTAATTTGAGCATTGTTTCTAGGCTTGTATAAAGAACCCACATTGATAGTTCTTGTCACCAGTGACGGGGCAGAAGTTAATATTTATTTTTCTTTCTGGCATGTGAATGTGGTTGCTGAGGGAATCTTCCAGCAGCTTCTCAATAAGAGGTAGCGTTTGCTCAAAGAGGAAGTAGATCTAGCACATCTTTTTCCAATCAATATTGGTCATCATTAGTAGCACAATATATTTTAACACATAAATCATGCTGACAGGCCACAGCACTGCAGAGTTTGAACATTTTCCCACATTAAACACAACCAGTTCAACTTATCTGCTAATTAGCAATAAGTTTGTGAGTTGCACAGCTGCAGAGCTGTGGCCTGGGAGGAACCCAGTTTGACACCCCTGCTCTTCAACATGGTTCTTATCATATACAACCATAAAGAGGTGGACATTTATTCTTCCTGATGTTTGAAAACATTTGTATGTGTTTTTTTTTTAAGTAAATGCAACTTTATGATGTTCAGATGGTGTCCGTGGTGTTGTAATGTGTGTGCACTCTGCTGGGATGTTGGAACGCTGCCAGATTGTAACCTTTCCTCACAAGGCCAGAAAACATGTCGCTGAGAAAAAGGTACAGATTTCCTTTTATCTGAACATCAAATGCACCAGCATTCCTGTAAAAATAATTTGAGTTTGCTCAACTAACCAAAATACCAAAAAATATTGCCATTTAGATCAGTTTTATGTTTTTTTACTTCATTTGAACAAAGCAGCTGTCCTTTACTTTTTGTGAACATTTCACAATGAATGGATCAAAGTAAATTGGTTTTGTCAATTGCTTTTTCAGGGTCCTTTTTGTAATTCAGCTACTGCAACAGAAATTGATTTCGACAACAATGACTTGACTCATCTCAGTTGCTTTAAGCTTTATTAGTTTATAGGTCTATGTTTACATATTTCTCAAATTTCAAATAAAGTATAGACTATTAAGAGGCAATCTTTTAAACTCAGTAAACTGAATTAAAACTGTTGTGTATTGTATCTCTTAGGTTGAGGTTCAGTATGACTGTTTTTCAGTCAGGCCCGAACAAGATGTGTTTGTGACTCTGAAAACTGCCCCAAATTTCTGCAATAATGTTTGGACACAAAAATACTCCATTCCAGGTATGTTGGTTGATGTAATTTTCTGGGGGGTTGTGTTTGTGATCTGACATGATATTCAGTGCAGATATATAAAACAGAAACTTGCCATTAAATGTGTTGTATTTTCTTTCTTGTGTCAGAATGTGCTCATGAAGACTTCAGGAGAAAAGTTACGGAGTGCATCAGTGAGTTCCTCTCAGCCATGGTGCTTATGTACAGTAGCATATTAATGAGAGCTATTAATCATTTTACCTACTGTATTAGGGACATGCAGTATAACGTACTCAATTCTTATTCAAATTATTTTTAATTTGAATAAGTAATGTGGCCTAAAATTATACCAATTATATGAACTACAGAAATACAGCACCATGCAAAAGCACATTATTCAACACTGTTTATTTTGGCAGTTAGTGTGCTTTGTATTTTTAATGTATCTTAGGAATGAATTGAAATAAACATAAATACAGTAGTTGATGTAAGCTAGTTTGAAGAACAAACATTGGTTCCAAATTTCTTCCCAAAGCCCCCAGCCATTGCATAGATTTCTTAAATTCCACCAGCAGTGCACCAGATTTAACATAATGACATATTGATTGAGCCACGCTAGGTATTGGGTGATGCTGCTATGATTAAAAGGTTTGGAAATAAACCCTTGGTTATTGTATTAATATTATTTGTATTTATTGCAATATTACTGTTTTTCTGAGCAAATACATGCTTATTGACTAGATAAAAAGATTTTAAGTCTAATTGTCTCAGGTGCTATAACTTTTGTACAGTTCAGTACAACTAATGTCATGTCTTAATATATGCTATTGTAGCTGGAGAGCTGACGTACACAGTGGACGCTGCCAGGAGAGAAATTACAGTGATGGTGCTGGAGGCCCCTAAGGACACAGACTACAACCTTAGACTCTGTCTCAAAGGCCATACTTGCATAGGAACAGGACCACACAGACTGGTGAGGACTATTCACTCTTAAATGTTATGTCTTGTACAACATTGCTTATATGAGTTTCCTTTTTTTAATGCAAAGGAGAAAATGTAGCACGTAGAACCTCTGAACACTATTTACCGATGCGTGTGATGTCATCATTACAAGGAAGAATTCAGACATTTACTAAAAATAGAAAATGACTTCTTGCTTCTAATTAGTATAAGAGGCACACTAGCTTTGAGCCCAGCATCACTACTATTTCACACTGGCTGTGAGCCAGACTTTCTCACAAGCACATTAACTTACAAACCTGTGGTTTTGCATGTGTGCGTGTGTGTGTGTGTGTGTCTTTCTGTTTCCTGCAGATCAAAAGACAAGATCTGAATAGAAATGAGTCATTTCTGTACTCCAAGGCTCTTCCTTGTTTGTGCATTGAGGTACCATTCCTGACTTGTCTTAACACATCAAGCATATCTTTGTCCCGACACGTTGTGTCACACTGATTTGTTACAGGGCTGGCCTGCATCTGCAAATGCACACAGAACTCAAGTTTGTCCATTTAAAAATAGTAAGTGTACTTACTACTAGTAGTAAGGGAGTTTTTACAACCTTTTACTTGTCTGGATACTATTTTATTTTAAAACATTCAAATTGTGCCCTGCTTATTTTCATTCATAAGAAATGTATATGCCCTTTTCCCTCTTTCAGACATGCAGGAGTTGTGGTCAGGGGTGACCTATGACCACTACACACAGGCTCTGTCTTGGAAACCCATGTGTCCTGTCAAGGCAGTCATCTCGCTGTGTCATGCTGTTGGACCAAAGATGTGCCTTGACATTGGAAACATGTCTCTGTCTTCTGAAAGGAACAACGTAAGCTCATTCTTATTCTACAACTTTTTACTATTTATTTAACTAATTTGTTTGTCTGAGACATTGGTCTTTAATAAGCATTAAAGCCAGAGCAGTACATTAGGTATAGATAGCCCAAAAAACTCATTCTCATCAGTTGTTCCTTTGCCCAGACATGAAAAAAGGCAAACTTATCGTATGAATGAATGCCGGTGAATGATCTGCTTTCTAAATGTTGGTTGCTAGGGGGTACTTGTTGTAAATATTGCATGTTTTGACTTCAGGTGATATTTACAACAGTGGATCCACACCCACTGCTTTGCATGAAGGTAATTTTTGCAGATTGGTTCTGTTTTGCATGATGTTCTCTTTTTTTATCGCAAAGCAAACTAAATGTGATGACATCATAGATATGAAATGACTTTGCTGAGCTCGCATAACAAGGGCAACCTATTATCTTGTTGAGTGATGCAAATGTGCGCTGTTTCAGTTCACCACTGAGGCAGACTTTTGGATAGAGTGCCCATTCAGTTCTGAACGTTTCCCAGGTAATTTCACTTATTGCTACACTAAATAATAGCATGCATGTTAAATTATTGACCTTTTGACTGAACAATTTGCACTACTTATATGGTGTCTGTCCATATTTGTCTAGTGTGGGACCTGAAAGTGGCTTCTAAAGCTGATCAGCACTGGGTTGAGATAACGTCATGGGTTCCAGCCAGGTTTTCAGTGGGTCTGTGCAAGATATCCAGCTCCACTACTTGCGAACCAGCTGAAGAAAACCCATTTTTAATAGTCTCTGTGGTATGAAATTATCAACAGTTTTATTCACATAGTTACATGCCTTTAGGAACACCATAGTTAATATACGAGATATTTTGAATGCCTTTTTGAAAGTGTTGTATTTGGATGGGGTCCCATGGGAGAGCTCCTTTTAAGTACAGTGCCATATTGTACTCAGAAAAGACATCATTCATGCGCTAACTTAAGTAATGACAAGAGAAAACAAAAAGTCTTTTGGAATGAAGGCCTCACAGATTCCTTAGTACAGAAAGGGGGGAGGGGTATTTGTTTTTGAAGGTGCCTTGATATGCCACAATTTCTTTTTGAAGGACAAAACAAAGCCTGCAGTTGTCAACTTGTCGACGAGTATGTGCAACTCAAGTATTTGTGTTCAGGTATGGCATTCAGAGCATGTAAAAGGAAATAAGGGAGAAAGTATGTCATTAGCTCTTTTCCTAATTCTCCACATGCATGTACGTGACTGACAGAGGCATTTTCGCAGTGTGAATGTGAATAAAGGTCTGTTGTAATAGACTGATATGCAGCATGCATATATTTTTTTTTTTTAAGGTGAGGAGAATAGATGTACTGTTGGCCATACAGGAACAGCGATGCAACCTCCAGTGCTGTGAGTAGGCTACATTGAGTGTGTGCACATGCTTAAACAGGGATCCTGCTTGACCATGTCAGTACTAGCTCAAGTCTCAAGTTTATGTCAGTTCTAGTTCAAGCCAAGTATGAGGAGTCTTACAATTACATTAGATGTTGACGCCGTTGCGTATACCAGCTGTTCTAACTCTTTACTATTATTATTTACAATGTTATAAACAGGACATAACTTGTGGGGGCCCTAAGTGACATCCTATTTGGATGGGCCCTAGACACAACCCACCCATCCAAATCACATTTTTTTGTGTGCAGGAATAGAACAAGAATTAATATTTAATTTCGATAAAGAAACAATGCAAGAAAATCTCTCGTCTTACAACTCTTTCTGACTGATAATATTAAATAAACTTTTACAAATGTATACTTGGGGCCCCCTGGTGGCCCTAAAAGTGACTGCTTATACTACTTACAGCAGGCATGTCAAACTGGGAAACTTCTGGGCCAGAGTGCTGCAGAGATTAGTGTTTACCCTCATCTAACACTCTGAATTCAGTTTATGAAGGCTTTGAGTATTATCTGATGAGTTGAATCAGGTGTGTTTAATGAGGTAGTGTGTAGAAGTCTGCAGTGTTTTGGCTCACAAGGACTAGAGCCTGACACATGTGACTTATAGCATAGGTTTTACAATTTCAATACTTTATCAAAAAAACAAGCATTCAGAATGGCGTATTAAAATTCAAAACTGCATAAATTACATACCTCTCATCTCTTACTTACTTAATCTGTGATCAGCTTTTTATTGATCAAATAAAACAAATGTGAAACTTTGAAACAGTAACTTTAAAGAGTAAAGTTAAAGTTTAAAGATAACGCTTAGTATAGATTTTGCACATATTGTAATTGTGCTTTTATGACATATTGATGTTGATGTTTCAGTTTGCAGTGTTCAAAATAGAGACATGCTGTATAAGAATTTACAGATTTTATAAGAAGGATTTCACGTTTCTGTATTGTTTATAGCTCACTCACACTGTTTTAAAAGATCACTATTAGGCAAAGGACATGCTGCTTTACTATCTCTGGAATAAAGTTTCTATTTTTCTGAGTTGAACAAATCTGTGTAGTATATTATTAGATCTCTGTCAAATCAAGACATGTTAAACACAAATGCCAGAAATCATATAAAATTTTGACCTGAGAACTGAAAATTGTATTGAACTTGGAAATATGTGTATGGTAATATGCAGTAAATATGTGTAATGTTGCGCTCCTGATAACGAGCATGGCAGGATCATGATACAATACAATCTTTCTCAATGCAGCTGACCAGCGGTTTGATCAGTGGAGTTACAGTGAGACTCTTGAGAAATACGCACTGCCACTCATTGTCTGTGTGATAGCATTGATGATGGCTGCTTTGGTCGGGAATGTGACATTGAAAGGTAAAATAAATTGATTTCTGTGTTGTTACTGAGCGTCACAAGCAGATTCATGGTGTTTCAGTATGTTGAATGATCATTAAACTATTATTTTATAAACTAGTGAATCAATAACTAGTTTCTCAAGTCATCCAAGTGGTCAGAGTGCTCCACATAGAGCAGGGTGTTAGACTCCAGTCCTGTCAGGTCACAATACTTTAGATTCTACCTTATTTAATACAACTAATTCAACTCATCAGCTACAACAGCCTTCATAAGTTAAATTCATAGTTTTAGAAGGGAGAAAAAATGAATCTCTGCAGACCTGTGACCCCCCAGGACCTGAGTCTGACACCTCTGCTTGCCATATAAAGCACTATTGATGGTAAAAATGAAATCAGATATGCGAAACTGACCCATGGAAAAGTAGAGCAACAAGAATGGGAGCATTTATATGAAATGACATGATATAGTTTTTATTGTATTAGTTTGTTGGTAGACTGGTGGAATTTTAGAATGGCACAGTAGTTGCCCTGTAATCTAATCATATGCCGTGCAGATTTAATTTGATGCAGGCTGCGGCTTTAGCAAAATGTTATTTGTCACTGGTGTTTGTGTTCTTTAGTCTGTGGTTGGGGGCAAAGAAAGCAGAAACCAGGCAAAATCCCTACATGCAGGGCTGCAGCAGGTAAGAAAAATGGCCTTTAATTTATTCTGATTTTTAAGATTGGTAGAGGAAAGGAAACAGTAGAGAGGGAAATATTTTTAGAATCTTTAATGTGAACATGTGCCACCTAAGCCTTTCTTCCTTCCTGTGTCAGAAACAGAGACCCTGATCCACACAGTGAGCGAGGACATGGATACAGGGCTGCGTGTGGCCTAAGGCTATGGGTGATCATTGTTTGGCTGCAATACGAGACTGTAAGTGGAGCCGCCAACAGAAGTAGTTTTGGCGCCTTGATCATCTTGGTCTGAATTTCGCAGGTTATATGTTTTTCACAGTTATGCTTTTAAATGTACATTACTCACAAATGTGTTTCTGAATATGATTACATATTCTGTACATGGTTTTATGTGGTATGTCTATACCAGCTTTTTTATTTTTGGTCATTGGGTGTAAAAGCTGATTGTCTCTCTGTCTCTCTCTTTCTTGCTCATTCTCTCTCTCTCTCATTAGTAATAGATTACAATTGTTAGTTCATGTCAAGTCAAGTGGTCTTTATTGTCATTCCTCAGTGTAACTTGTGTACATTGGAATGAAATGTTGTTCTTCAGGCCCCATGGTGAAACACATAACAACATCACATTACACAGAACTACATAAAGTGCAGATGCACACACATATATATACACACACATACAGTGCCTTGCAGAAGTATTCAACCCCCTTAATCATCTGGATTGCAAATGACACTTCAATGTTTTGTTCTATTATATTTTATTTTAAAAGACTTACTCTGAAAATTAAGTAACTTCAAGTTGTATCAGTTTTATTAGAAACCTATTCTGTGACAAAAATTATTAACTGAAAAATGGTGTTTGCATAAGTATTTTACCCCTGTGCTGTGAAAGCTCCTAGTTCACACAAGTACCCTTGGTCAGACTGTGAATCTCAAGGAAAGCTGTAAAAAATGAAGACTAAAGAGCATTTTAAGGAAATTAGAGATAGTTATGAACATGCACAAAAAAAAAATAAAAAGGCTACAAAATAAAATCCAAGTGTTTGGATATCCTAGTGAGTGCTTTTGGATCAATTGTGTGGAAATGCAAGCTGCATCATACCACCTGTCAAAACTCAGCATCAGAGCAAGAAGGCGACTAGAGAGTCCAACAATTACTTCGAAGAAGCTACAGAGTTTAGTGGCTGATGCTGGAGTGAAGGTGCAGCAGTCAACAATATCAAGAGCTCTGCATACAACTGACCTGTATGGGGGGGTGGCTAGAGAGAAGCCATTACTGAAGAAAAACAACATAGCATATGTATACTTAGACGCGAGATAAGATTTTGTGGTCAGATGAGACAAAAAGGTGAAAGTTCTACAATGTCCAAGTCAAAGTACAGATCTCAGTCTAATCAAGAATTTGTGGTCAAAATCTGTGGTCAAAATCTCTCCCAGTGTGCAAAGCTGGAAGAAACTCAGAATTAAAGATGTTATTCCAGCAGAAGGTGGTTCTACCAAGTACTAACCTGAAGGGGTTGAATACTTCTCCAAGCAGCATTTTTTATTTTTAGATCTGCTGACAAATAATGAATTTTGACTCAAAAATTTACTTTGAGAACATTGGTTTTGAATAAAAATACTGTCTGGAACAATTTGCGTGTCATTTGTAATCCAGATAAATCTGACTTTTAAGGGGGTTGGATACTTCTGCAATGCTGTATATAGATGAGCATCAAACTAGTGCAAACATTGTCATCTATAAACTGTACAGAAAGATTGAAGTTGTTAAAACCAGAACTGTTTATAGGCTCATATAATGTAGACTACTGTTTGACATTATTGAACTTGTACATTAAATGGCTCTTTTTCTATCTGCATGTGCAGCAGGTGTAATAAACTGTGTTCTCACCATCTCTTTGCTCCACTTCCACAAACTGCTGCAGTGCACATACTGCAGAGGGCAGTGTTTTACAGTTTACTTTGTACCTGCTGTAAGAACTGATCCTCTACTGTCTGTAGTGTATGAGTAAGAGTGTATTAGTGTCAGAGTGTGTCCCTTGTAATCACTACAACTAGATCACAAATGGGTGGTCGCAAGAACTGGGTCAGAAATGGTCAACTAACAGACATTATAGGTTGTGAGAGCTGGAGTATTTATTCACTACTCCATGAACTATCCTGTGTATGTTCTGTAAAAAATTGACTTATCCATGCTCCGCCCATAAATGTTCTATTGTAACAACTGTTCCCAGGTTGAAAACACCTGACAAGATGTTGCCAAAAAATCCCTTTCAACATAATGAGAAACTGGGAATTTTTTTTGCTAAATTACCTGTGTGAAAGGTCACTCTGTTAGGATAGATTGGGTGTACTTTTTGGTCGTATAATCAGGCTAACATTATCATGGTGGGAAATTTCTTTGTAATTTTCAACCTAACTAATTACAACATTATATATATATATATATATATATATATATATATATATACAAAATGTTGTAACTAGTTAGGTTGAAAATTACAAAGAAATTTCCCACCATGATAATAACTTGCATTTTCCATATTTATATGTGAAGTAAAAAGCACATGTTCACGAGTAAACATATTACATATTTTCATGTGATCTCAAGTACATCTGTTATATGTTTTGCATGATTACATCTGATAACATGTAGAAATCTTTTTCAACGTTACACCATAAATTACACGTGAAAAGTGTAAATGGATGAATCCAGATGTGAGAAAATCATAAATGAAAAATCAAAATTTGCTTTAATGTGTAAAGTCAACAAGTAGAAAAAGTGTGAAAAATAACATGTTAAGTGTCTAAAAAAACAGCTGGTTATTGACAAGATGAAGTCATGTGATTTTTATGTAAAGGAAATTAGTTACAACAGCAGTCTAGCTCGTTAGTATAGCATTAAAAACTGGAAGCTTAATGTTATGTAGCAAATCTAAACCCCCACCTGACAGGAAGGGGCCAATTGACTGACAGTGCACACCAGCCAATCTCAGACCATTGTTTTTGTGTAGGCGCAGATGATTGTCAAAGCAGTGCTATACTGTTGTTGGAGCTGAGTGCTTCCTTCTCGCTCAGTCCCAACTGTGGAGGTCTGTGGCATCTCTGCATGAAATGTATGTACTTTCACAGCTCTTGAGTGGCGCAACTGTCCTGTCATCAGGAGGTCATGAGTTCAAATCCCAGTCCAAAAGAGGGAATCATTCAGCCCACATCCTCTCAGGCAGGGAACACTGTGTGAGAGGGAGCCCTAACCTGTGGGTGGAAATTAGCAATGACCAAATTTAGGCATTTAGGGATATGGGGAAACTGAGTAAAGTGTAAACAATTTTAGCTTATGAGGAGGCAACCACAGTCATTGTTTTTTTGAATAAGCTCATCTTAAATTGTAGTTTTTACCTAACTGAGATAAGCACAAAAAATAATATTAAATAATAATAAATGTGTTAGGAGAACTTTTAACTAAACTAAGAAGTTTCAGTTAGGGGACTCAAGTACTTTCAAGTTGATACAACTGAAAAAAGTTGTCTTTTTAATTTTAAGTTGATCTGACTTTTAATTTTTTAGAGTGTACAACAAAAACAGACCTGCATAGAACAAAGTGGTGTATGTGACGGTCAGCAAACAAGCAAGATGTCTTGTTTATATGCTACTAACTGCTTTAAACAAAAGTTTTAGACATGCCATCGCTTTTTTATTAAATCCAGTGCCTACATGTTATTCTGCAAGGCTCATTTTTGTCACAGTGTACTAGTATTCAACCTGATGTTGAAAAAGCTTATTAAATGCGGTTCATGGAAATGCACACTGTAGCGCACAATCAAAGAGTAACTTACATTTCAACAATTGTGGCCTTCATAGTGTAAAGGCCTGTCCCAGAGGGGTGCTAAGCCCTGTGGTCCCCCCCTATATACAAAGGTATTACAAGGATAATGCAGCTTATTGAAAAATTAATTCAATGAACAAATTCATATCGTCTCTGAATGTTTACACTCTTGTTTGTTAGGCAACTGTAAACAAACCCATCCACTCTGATTGGCGCTAGCCTCTATCTTAAGTAGTTCTAGGTAAGAGCCTGCTGGCAACAGTTGCTTCCAAATAATGCAGCTGTGAATGGAGCATGGACAGGTCAGTTGTCAATGTGTTGCCAACTATAATTGTAATATTAACAGTTTCCAGCGAATTACTGAACTTAGCTGCCTCTGCTAAACATCTCAGCTCGCATTAGTGTAGCATACATTAATGAATTCCAGAGTGTGCAGTACAGGGTTGGGGTTTGAGGAGGGTTTGATTGAAAAAAGCTCTGCACTTTGCTGATGAAAACATTCCTAAAGGATGGAATAAAGCCTACACAATGGAACCCAACCAGAAATGCTGGGCAGATGCAAAAGGCAGTGAGGTGAGTGAGTGCAGACATGTTTTATGCATGTTCAAAGTTCCATTCTGCTTAGAGTGGTAAAGAGAAGGTGTATATAACATTATATAACCTGGCTAGAGGTGCTGACACGTCAACATTTTTTGCAAACATTTGTTCTAACTGTAAGTTCGCAGAGTACGATAGAAGGTTCATTAGGTTCATGAAGCATAGCCAACAGTGTGTGTGTGTGTAGGTGTGTGAGAGAGAGGGCTAGCACAATGTTTTGGGGAGTGGTAAACACTGTGAAAGTGAGCCATGAGAAAGTAATTGCCCCAGTGATCTCATTGTCTTCAGGGCTCAGCTGTGAGGGAGACTTTCTCTTCTGATAGTTTCCATCAGAGGTCAGTAGAACAGCTTTAAATTATACTCAGGAAAAAGTGTTGTTGTTTCAGTGAAGTAATCTCTGCGTTCAGGGCCGCTCCCTATTAGTGAAATGTTGCACCATGTAGTATACATTCTTTTTGTGATGCTGTTTAAATACTTATCAATAAATCTTGCAGATGTTCTATGGTTGTTCCCCAGTCAGTGTACTAACAAACACTGTATTGCAGTGGTCACCGACCCTGGTCCTAGAGATCTACCTTCCCGCAGAGTGTGGTTTCAACCTCAATCTTAACTTCCTCAGAAGTCCTTAATTGCCTGGATCAGATACATTAATGTTAGGTTGGGGGTAGAAGTAAAGTAGAAGTAAAAGTAAGCTAGCAAAAACAACTTGAGTAGGACTAGAAAAGTATTAGTCCAAAAACCCAAGAGCTGCAGGGGAACTTCCTAGCATATCCAGCATATATAAGCATAGTAACTGAAGTCTGTTAGGGGTAATTCATCCTTTTTTGGTCTGAAACAAAATGAAACAAAACCTGGACTGTTTGCTTAAATTAAACTTTAAACAAACAGTCCAGGTGCTGAAACAACAGAACAGAATTAAATAAAACCCTAAATATTAACAGTGCAATGATTATAATACAGTATTGAGGGGGAAAAAAGGAAAATGATTGTTGGAAACAGTGTGTTGAACTTTAGAAACTGTGTTGCCTTAGAGTGTGATTTGCCATCTTTTGTGGAAACCGCTGTCAATGATAAAACATAATAAAGGACAGACTTCATGCTGAAATAACTGGGCTTTCTCTGAAGTTGCTAATAAATTGTAGGGGTAGCAATTTGTTGGGCTTATTTTGTTTTCAAACATCAAACTTAACCATAACCTTGGTACTGAAAATCGTATCAAACCTGAAAATATGTGTATCGTTACAGCCCTACTTAAAAGGAATTAGGAACTGAACTATTAATTTCAATTTAATTCAACTAGGAACCAGCAAAAGTGGAACTGAGGAGGAAATAGACTCCTTTCATCACACATATACTCAAGTGGAAGTAAAAGTATCTTCATTTGAAAATACTCAGAGAAGTACAAATACACCAAACACGTAAATGTAACTTGTTGTTAGCCTCCTTTCTATGCGTCTGCTCTTACCTCCCTACATACACTCTACTGCCTTTCCTGTGCCTCCTTCACAGTGGGCAGTGGAGTGTCCTGTGATTTGATACAATTTAACCCAAGCAAAGAATATACTTTCTAACCATAATAGTGCCTTCTGTGGAGGTCAACTGGCACTAGCTGCCCCTTCTGAAATGAGTAACATATACGAGCTGCAGACACATTGACCGCACAACTGGTGGCAAAGTGCACCACTGATTTTCCCATCTGCTGCTAGAGTGTGCTTTAACCTCCAGGGTGGACAGGCCAGAGGTCAGTTAAGTTGATGTGTGAAAGGACATATTCATTCATGGTCAGCGGAACATTGGCATCTCAGTTGCTGAATCCCATTCAAAGGTCTTGCCATTAAAAAATAACTGTCCTGGACCTCTTCTGACACATTTGAAAATAATAGTTATGATTCTGGTTCTTTTTAGGGTACAACTTTTTCATTCCTAAAAAGAGAAAAATAGTAACAAAAAAAACAGAATAAAGACAGATTTGATGATATACAAGTAGTGAATACTTGATAAAAATCGAATAAATATATGTGATTACATTAAAGGGGAATTCTACCATTTTTTTAAAATTTCTGAATAATTCAGTCTATTAGATGTAAACAAAGTCATTCAGAATGTCTTAATATGAAATGCTCCTTTCCAGAGAAACACACTGATTCTTTACATTTTCTTTACATTGGCGCTGATAGGATTCAAAGGCTGAGAAGCCTACAGTGCATGTAGAACCATTTTATTTACTACCCAGAACCACCAATGGTAAATAATGGTGAAATAGTGGCCTGACAAAATAAGTTTTCTTTTCTTTTCCAGTTTCTCTAGAACAGAGCATTTCATAACAAAACACTCTGAATGACTTTGTTTGCATCTTAATCATGTATACATAATTTAATTATGCAGAAACCTTTGAAAAAATGGTAGAATTCCCCTTTAGCATCTCTACATATATCTTATAAG